AATTAACATATATAACATATTTATATATAATATAATTAATAATAATATATATAATATACTACTATACTGATATTACTATATTTGAAAAAATAATTTAAATAAGAATAAAATATAATATTTAACACGAAAATATTTTGTTTGTTTGAATAATTATAGAAAACGTATGCCTAAGACCATGGTCTTTCGAACGTATCCCAAATAAAATGATTCGTGGATTGGACAATGCATTAATTTATACATCGACGAAGGAAGCTTGCCTTGCTGCATGTTTGAATGAACACAGATTTACATGTAGATCACTCGAATACAATTACGTAACACTTCAATGTCATCTGAGTGATTCCGATCGACGAACAACCGGACAATACGTTCAATTCGTTGACGCACAAGGGGTTGATTATTTCGAAAATCTTTGTTTAAAAGGAAAAGAAGCGTGCAAGTCTCAAAGGATCTTTCAAATACCAAGAATCGGTGTTGCCGATGATAAAGTTGCACAATATGCTGGCCTTCATTATTACACCGATAAAGAATTGCAAGTTCAAAGTGAATCGGCATGCAGATTGGCATGCGAAATCGAAAATGAATTCCTGTGCAGATCGTTCCTTTATCGTGGTGCACCCCAAGGATCTGCTTACAATTGTCATCTGTTTCATTTGGATCATTGGACCCTTCCTGACGGACCTTCGACTTATCTCAACGCTGAAAGACCATTGATCGATAACGGCGAACGCGTTGGAACATATTTTGAAAACTTTTGCGAAAGTAAGCAACCAATCTCACATTTTGGGTTGAATCATATTCTATTATAAATAAATTAATTAACAAAAAGAAAAGAAAAAGTTAACAGTTAATTGAATTTATTCAGAAGGTACTGGGCCCTTGGCTGATCCGCTTCCGGTTGTTTTCGAAACTACCGAAGATCCTACGGTTAATAATCTGACAAGGAACGATATTAATTGCGATAAAACTGGCACCTGTTACGATGGTAAAATTTTAATACGATTTTTCACACATACACACATACATAATCCCAATGAATATTATATTAAACTTTAATATCTTTGATATATTAATCATTTTTCACATTGAACAGTATCCGTCGATTGCAAGGACACGCGTATTGCAGTTCAAGTTCGTACAAATAAACCGTTCAATGGTAGAATTTATGCACTCGGACGTTCCGAAACTTGCAACATCGATGTTATCAATAGTGATTTATTCAGACTCGACTTGACAATGAGCGGACAGGATTGCAATACTCAAAGCGTGGTAAGTGTTTTTCGTAATCATCATTGATAAAAATTGAAATAAATAAAAATACAAGTGAAAATAAATATAAAATGTTTGTTTAAAATTCACGAAAACATTTGGCTTCGTGTATCAAACATTTTCCTCAAACTTTCTGTTCATGATGGCAGCGTGACGGTTTTCAGACTGGCATCTATTCGAACACAGTGGTACTCCAACATCATTCGGTGGTCATGACAAAGGCTGATAAAATCTACAAGGTTAAATGCACTTACGATATGTCATCAAAGAATATTACATTCGGGATGATGCCTATCAGAGATCCGGAAATGATTAGTATTACTAGCGCACCCGAAGCACCACCACCAAGGATACGAATTCTCGATAGCAGATCCCGTGAAGTTGAAACTGTTAGAATCGGAGATAAATTGACGTTTAGGATTGAAATACCCGAAGACAGTAAGTTTATAATATGTGAAAATGCAATTGGAATAATGTATTAATGTTAATTTGATTTTCAATTAACTTGACACTTGTATTTTAATTATAGCACCGTACGGAATCTTTGCTCGCAGCTGCGTTGCTATGGCCAAAGACTCTAAAAGTACATTCCAAATAATCGACGACGAAGGGTTTGTATTATTTTTCCTATTTGAGAATAAAAATTTGATCAAGAATTTTTGTATCTAACCCCATAAGGTATATTGTAATTTTAGATGTCCAGTTGATCCCTCGATATTCCCAAGTTTCACGCCAGACGGTAACGCACTTCAATCTGTTTACGAAGCCTTCAGGTTTACGGAATCTTATGGTGTCATTTTCCAATGTAACGTCAAGTATTGTCTCGGACCATGTGAACCGGTAATACTAATTTTATTCGTACAATTATTTTTCTTACTTTAAACCTTTTTTTTCAGTATGCTATAAACGCATATGCACGCTTATCAATTTTTATCGATCTTCCTTTAGGTTAAACAAAATTAAAAAAAACAATTATTTAAACAAATTGATCAAAATTTCGAATTGTTTGACAGGCTGTTTGCGAATGGGGACGCGAATCCGTTGAATCATGGGGTAAAAGACGTCGAAGGAACGTCATGAATACTACGGAAGAAAAAGCTGAGGACATGACACTGTCTCAAGAAATTTTGGTCTTAGATTTTGGCGATGAAAAACAATCGGACTTTCTCAAAAGTGACGCTAGCATAGACTTCAACGAAGCAGGTACAATTATTTTACAAATAAAATCTATTTAATTAGAAGTTTGATATGGAATAATATATTCGATCATTATTATTATTATTATTATTTAATTTGGTTTGTTTCTCTTTGTCAAAGATAAAACCGTGACCATCGTAGAACCATGCCCAACAAAAACATCGGTACTAGCATTGGGTGTGACGTGTGCTTTACTGGTTCTCATCTACATATCCACAATTTTCTGCTACTACATGAAAAAATGGTTGTCACCGAGGAAAATGATGCCTTGAGAAGATTACATTCAATCTTTAGCAAACGAACAAAAGGCAAATGATTTAATAGAGGAAACGTTTTTATACGATATAAGCGCATATACACATACACACACACACATAAAAGTACATTTTACCTGCGGCAATAATATCATCGCATACGTGAGAAATATCATGATGCAAATTAAGCAATAAATGTTCGCGAGAAAACAAAAAACAAGAAAAAAAAAGAAAAAAAAAGAAGAAGAAGAAACGTCGAACCTAATCGTTCCATCTTAAAAGTACCTAACCTATAAATCATTTTATTTTTCCATTAACGTACGATTTTCTAATACCTTTTCGCAAAATATTCCATACAAAAATATGTCATACAAAGATCGTAACGTTAATTCGTGATCTATTCGTCAATTAATTAACAAAGAAACATTAATTTTAGAATAATTTTGATGTAATACGTTGTTAAAAAACCACCGCCATTTTTATTGTACGGCAGAGACACGTAACGGGAATATTGTGAAACATTTTAATGATCTTTCGATATCATTTCTAATTTAACAATTTATCTTATCACATTTTAACACAATCACGCGTTTATACTTAAACATTTATATTTATTTATATATTTACAAATGAATTTTTGTCTAACAACGAACGATTAGGTTCAATATGATTCACAAATAAGTTTAGGTACTACTTATTTAAGAAGATCTTTTAAACAGAACGTTAACTATCTCATAATTTTCTCTCTCTCTCTCTTACTTTCTTTATATATGTATCTATCTATCTATCTATCTATCTATCTATCTATCTATCTTTCGTGGCTACTTCTGATCGGGTTGCAAGAAGATAATCGTCTCGATCGTATTCGATCGAAATAAATTCGCTTAAGTATGCGCGCGTGTTTTCTTTTCTGTTTCTTTTTTTTTTTAATGAGATTCTACACGAGACGAATAACGATCGAATGTTTATTTTTTTAAATAATTTTTTGTCCACGAACTTTTGTCGGCTTATAACCCGTATCAAGACTAGCGATATTTAAAGGTTCACGCTTCACTAACGTTTCTAACGAATATAGATAGAATTTAAGTTAGGGATTAAGAAATGGTATGCGAGCATATAGGAGAGAAACAATAATAATAATAATTACAAACNATAGGAGAGAAACAATAATAATAATAATTACAAAAAAAAAAAAGCAAAAAAAACAAGAATAAGAAAGAAAGAAAGAAAGTAAGAGAGAATGCTATATTATACGTGATCGATATATTTTCGATCACAAACGTTTGTTCGTGCGTTAGCAAACAGAACTTAACGATTATAATAATAATAATAATGATAATAATTATAATTATAATAATATCGTAAGTTCTTATATATAGAGTCTAAAGAAATACTCTTCGTAATAAAAACAAGTTTCATAGTATTTTTTTTTTTTGGTGGTGCGCATGGAAATTGCATTCCATTAATCGTATTATAAGGTTTTTATAGTAACAAAGATAACGTAAAACGTATCAATTTAATTAATTAACGAAATCTTACCAGTCTATTCACGATCATGCGAATTCCCGAAGATAATTATATACGTATATAATGTTATATTATAACGTAAAGATGATTCTTCGATTGTTTCGTTATGATTATTTTATTTTTTTTTTTTTTTTTTTTTAAAATATAAATTAATTCAATCATATCGAATTGAAATGATTATCGTATGCTTGTGAATCGACTGAAGTGCAGCAAGACTTCCGGTTAAGGTGCTTACTCTTAAGAGTTAGATTGATAGCTCTGTGTTTTAGTTGCCCGTATAAAAAAAACAAATGACAATATTTTTTCCAAACAATTGAATCACAATTGAATGGTTACCCTTTAATGACAAAATTGTTCTTATTTATTTTTAATATCGAAACCTACGATATTTTATCTATTTTTTTTATTTAACAATTAGTGTAGCATATAAAACGAATTTTTAATAATTTAACAAAGAAAATAAAAAAAAAATATGACAAAAGGGCTATTATTATTCGAGAGCTATTAAAAAATACAAAATGTATATATTACGATCTATTGTATTAAGCATTTCAGAGAACAAGACACATACTTATCATATATCATATGTATTTGTGTACTCTATTTATAAATATAAATATATTAATACACATATATATACATATATATAAATATGTATATATATATGTGTATATACAAGAGACGAATAAGTGTGAAATGTTATTTTTTTTGTTTTATTTGAATATTAATTTAACGGGAGGATCAATGTCGTCAAGAATTTCTCTTTTTTCTTTTTTCACGAGAGTCCGGTTTAGGTGGCAACCTTTTTTATTATTATTATGTTTTTTTTCTCTCTCTCTCTCTCTCTCTCTCTCTTTTCTCCTTCACCGCCTCCGCACTTTTTCCACCCACTTAAAAATATCCTTAGATCGATTATTGCGCATAATCGTTTGAAATAATTGATCTCAGGACTCGTTTACCAGTTGCTAAGAGCCAATTAAGAAAACGGAACAAGATAAAAAAACAAGCTCAACGAAATATATTCAAATTATTATTGAATATACTTATTACTCGTTATAATATACTTCCTGAAATGATTTCATTTGAGAAGATAGAACAAGTTTTATTTTTATTTTTGTTTTACCTTTCTTATCTTTCTTTTATTTCTTCCAAACTGTTCATTTAAAAAAGAAAAAAAGAAAAAGAAATTAATAAAATTTTGATACAAGTTTAAAATGTCAAGGAATGGTTATCTTCCATCGGTTGATACTCACAAAAATGTATGGTTACGAAATGAATGAAAAAGAAATAGATATACAAACGGTCTCCACAAAAACCTAAAATAAATTCTATAATAAAATCATGTAAAAGTTAAACAATTTTTATATAGATTTTAATTTGACAATGATTTTATATTGAAAAATCATAACGAAATGATCAAAATTATTCTTAAAGTAAATTTCAATCATATGATATAATTTTTTGAACGAACATTTTATAGAAGCAACGTAAAAATCAATATCGAAAAATTGTTTTAATATTTGAAGAAAAGAACAAAATTTGATTAAAAATTTCGGTATACTGAAAATTTGTTGAAAAAAACATTCCTATTAGATTACATTAACGTGTGATATTAATTTGGCTTAATATATTATTGGACACCTTGTATATACACATATTACATATACATATTACATATACATACGCAATAATCGGCGATAAGCCAATGTTGAGAGTCCTAGCTTAACGAACGAACCTGTCTGCTGTTAGCTCGTGTTTGTCATCCATGACTAACCGTAGACAACTAACATTTACATTAGCATTACACGACAATAATAGAAATCATTTGACACATCAAAAAAACATCACTTGACATTCTTTAATAATTTAAAAATAAAACCTTTGACGTACGGAATGAAAATAAAATCAAATTCTATATCATCTTATATATATATATATTGTATATACAATCAAATATTACTTAAAGTATATATAGATCTTATTGATCCACAAAATAACAAAAAAATAATAATAATTTATTCGTAATGACTGTTATAAAAATACAAACTATATGTCTCTTTCACTTTTCCCTCCAAAGCGTAATATATTTTATTCACGATAAGAATATTCAATTAAATTCAATCCCCCTCGCGTTCGTTTAAGAATTAATTCGATTTGATTAAACAGATAAATCTTAAATCAGACATAAATTGCGTTATAATAACGAAAGAGCAAACCGTTAGATCAAACGGATAACGAATTTAATGAGCTAAACAACATAAGATATGAAGACATTTTGCAATATCGACGGAAGAAATATAATATATCATTTTAAATGATCTTCCACATAATTATCTCGTTATAAATCGTGCCTGTTTAAATTAAAAACTCTAATTCCGTTTAGAAGGAAGAAAAAAGAAAAAAAACAAAAGAAGGGGAAAAAGAAAAGAACAAAGCGGCCATATTGATTTTTATCGTAAAACCCAATTGGATAAAGAAGAAGAAGAAGAAGAAGATAAAGAATTTAAATAATAAAACCGTTACTCATTCATCCATAAAAAAAAAACAAATTCCATTAAAGTACGAACGTGTGCAAAAAACTAGATGACCTAATTGATGACCTCGTTAAATCCCTACGCCATAGATTTAATTAAACGAGAATGGAATAGATTATTACGTGAAGCATGAATTCAAATATGTAAGATGAACCTTGATAAGGTTATACGATATCTGTCGATAAAACAGAACTGAAACTCGCGTTATACATTTACCTCGGTAGGTAATGTCGATAAATATGATGCGCGCGCCACCGAGGTTAAAATAAAACAAAAGAAAGGAAAGTAATGAGGAGTAGGGGGTGGGGGGTAGGTAGGGAAGAAAGGGAAGGGTTATTGAATCGTTTCGTAGAAATTCAACGTCATAATAATTCTTTATCTCTCTCTCTCGCGCGTTCTCTCTTTCCGTATTATAGTGGAATTCTCCGTTATTATTTGGAATAAAACTAATATATAAACGCGCGGGGAAGAAATGAAAGATCCGGAATACGAAGTCTTCGCATCGAAGTCATCAAAAGCGTTCGTGCCAAAGGCAAAATGCATGGCGGTCAGCCTCGATACGCCTTCGCCAATGATAAGATAAAAGGTTAGCTTGTATATGCATGCAACGTAGAGAAAGAAAAAGATAAAGAAAAAGAAAACGAAAGAAAGAAAGAAAGAGAGAAAAATGAAAAAGAAAAAAAAAAAAGAGAAAGAGAGGATCTAATGTAGGCGTCATAGGCTCTCTCACAACACACATTGCTCACAAAGCTGCTGTTTTACGATGATAAGACTCTATATTATATTTGTATTATTATTATTATTATTATTATTATTATTATTAATATTATTATTGTTATTACTATAATATTATTATTTCCACTGGTCTTCCACGTGTTATCGCGGAAAAAGATGAAAGAGGTAAAATAAGAAGAGCCGAACAAACACGTATGAGGTGCGTGAGTAATAAAAGGAAAGAAACGTTCTCTTCTGACGGAGAGGTTTCTTAAGCTCCTTCCATCTCTTTCTTTATTTCTTTATTTTCTTTCTCTTTCTTGCTCACTCGGTGTGTTCAGGTATGCGCGAGTAGGCGCCATCGTGCGACCGCCCACGGAGAAGGTGTATTTCTGTGTTC